ATGTGTCGTGTAAACAGGTTGCTTCGCCATTCATAACTAAGAGAGCGAACCACGTGATACGGTTGTCGTGGAAACGCCGTTTTAGGTTTTGCACTTCGGCGTTAACGCTAGGCGTCAGAAAACGCTCAGCCCAACGGTTTTGTGTAGGCATGGCAGTAGGCTTTCTTTAACCTTTTACTTTTGACAGCCATACTTTAACATTTACTTTATCGTATCAATTTCCTTTAACTGAAATTTACAAATATGGCCTCCTAGTACTGTTTTCAATATTTTAAATTGGACCTCTAGCAATGCAGCGGTGAGAAGTGTTCCCTATTCGGAAATGCAGTAAACCAAAGCATCGGTGTCTTTTACTTCTAAACTATAATTGCTGGAAAAGCCCAATTTGCGCATCTATGTTTGTTTTGCTGCATTTGCGAATAGCCCCGTGCATTCATTTTCATGCATTAGTTTTTGACTGATGCGCGTGCAAACATACCAACAGACAGACAGCCAGAATTTCTAAAAACTGTTGATTTGGCGTCCGTTGCTCTAATAAAGACCTCCCATATTAATATTTCTTTAATATCTATAATGTACAGACATCGGGCCTTTACAATTTTATTATATATATAGAATTAAGCTTGAGAACTGCAAAATCGAAGCACATAGTTGCACTTACAGTTCATTCAGCAGGGGAAAAGCAATTGATATGTATGTGGGCCATTTTCAAACGAAGTGCTATTTTTTGTCCACCCTTTTTTAATTTTTTTTATGGTGGTAAAAACGAAAAATTAAAAACAGCATTATACGATCCAAATAATAAGCCACTAACAAAGCTGTGTTTTCTTTTGCGAACCGTATATTTTTGATATATTTTACCTACTTCATATAAAAATATTTCTCCCGCTCAGGTTATTCGATAATCAACCTGAAAAAAAGTTTAAGCAAAGAAACAATGAAAAAATGCGTAACTGTTTGTAAATGACCACCTTAACTTTTATTGTTATTTTCTATTTTCGCCCGAAAAATTTTATCAACATAAGCGTGGCTTTCTATTATAATACTGTGCCTCCGAAATTTCCTGAATGCCACTTTTTTCATTCCCTCGTTTATATGTATTCGTTAAATAAGACTCTTAAGGTGCCCACACTCACCGACGTGTACGTATGCCGTGTCTGTTTGACGTAGCAACATATACCATTTACAGTTGATAGAGAGAGAGAGAAGCACGCGTAAACGTCGCAAGTACACGGTGGTGAGTTTTCATTTACATGGCCCTCTCATAAGTTTGATCGTGTCACTGACGCAAACGTACGTTAACGTGTTAAAGTTCAGTCTAGTTCAGTCAGTTAGTCTAGACTTAACTTAATTTAACTTACCGTAAGAAATCATCAGTGATTACTCAACACGTCAACTTAAGCCAAGAGCGGAAATATTTTGTTTTTGTATTTTCTCTTTCAACTGTTTAACAGTTCGCCGCCTAAAATGCTACATCAAAAAAATCATGCAAACAAAAATGTGTGCTTTCATTTATTTTTAAGAAATACAAAAACCAGAGTCTGGCAAGCCTGATTCTCTCACCCCTCTCAATTTCCGTAAGGCCGTAACTTAAGAACCTAAAATCTACTGGTCCTTAAGTTTCTTACGGTAAGTTAAGTTTTAACTAACCGCCAACACAGTTTCTCATATAAGTGCTCATTTACACACGGCGATTTTTGTTGCCGCAACTCGACGTTTGTAGGAGAGAGCGTGACGAGGAACACGCTTTGTGCTCTCGTTCGTCTGTGTAAATTGAACCGATGTTCACAGCTGACAACAACAATTGCATACACACAAATCGCCGTGTGTAAATGAAACGAGCAACACCAAAAGGGAATGTGAAAAATCGCGTCGACAAAAGTTTCCGTGTATAAACACAGTCTACCAGGTTGGCCAAAAAATTAAGTTAAGATAAGTTACGGAAATTAAATCTAGACTAACTGAGTTTTTAGCTGACACGATCAAACTTATGAGAGCGCCTTGTAAATGAAAACTCACCACCGTGTACATGCGACGTTTACGCGTGCTTCTCTCTCTCTCTATCAACAGTAAATTGTGTCTCACGTCGGTGAGCGTGGGCACCTTTAGAAAAAAGTGAAATATTTTCATATTAGGCAGGACGACGTTCGCCGGGTCTGCTAGTTTAATAAAAACAGATTCCCTGAGACGCGAAATGCGTTGAAGCGCGTAGGAGGGAAAAAATAAATCAATCTTTCGTTTTTCTTCCTATCGGTTCATGATTCAATAATACAAGGCTAGATAATTATTGACAGTCGCGGTTTGACACTCACTTACAAAAGGTTGCATTTATGAAGGACAGAGAAAGGGCAATAATGTAAACCCCTGTTGCGAAAATGGTAGTAGAAAAGTACGCAAAGTAGGCAATTAGTAGTGAAATTCCTTTTGTAAACTCTAATGTATTTGCAGGAAATCTGGCATTTTAAACCAAATAATGAACGAAATATTAATATATCTATGTGACTTACATAATTTATGTGCTATTTAGCTGTATAAAAACTGCAAAAGGACTCAAAATTAAAATGAAACTACTATGAGATTTATGTAAACATCCAATTTAAAAACAATTTATGTTATCATCAGTTAAATGTGCTTCGTATGCATATATGTACAAATAAACATATTGCCCAAATGCTTATACTTCTATTTCACAGTAAAGCTACACTTTTTCCAAGTAAATTTGCAAAGAAGCAACACGGTGCCACTGCTAAGGGAGCGGTGCGAGAGAGACAACTGTCAGTTTATCGAACCTTGTATTATTGAATCATGTTATTGGCCGAAGCAGCTCCAACCAGCGTTGCCGCTTTAGTAATTTTTAACCAAAATTGGTAATTTTTTTCTTTATTTATCAAGTTTGGTAATTTGGTAATTTATTTTTCAATTTGGTAATTTTTTCGATACGGTCTTACATGTCAAATAGGTCAGCATTGGTTCTGAATCCACATTAGTAAGCGTTTCCTTTTATAGAAATACCAGGTAATCCTGAAAGTTTCGCAAGGCGAAAGTTATTCCAGCGTTCCTTGGCTACTAGAATGGTGTGTTCTTTAACAAACTACTTGAAAGTGGCTATTGCTAAGTATATCCACCGTTTCCTTTCCTGGAAGGTTTTGGGTGGTCCTACCTTTCCCTGTCAGTTCGTCAACTTTTCAATTGCCATAAATTTTCCGGTGTACCCGGCGACCGTATATATGTGAGTCGAAAGCTTTTCTTCAAGCGTTGAATTTTTGATATATTTTCTTGTCACTTGTTTACATACAGTGGTCGAAAAAATTATTGCCGCACCATATTTTGACAAGATTTAAAATATTATTTTTTTGTAATTTAATTTTGGTTAATTTTTATAAAAATATTGTTCTTTCTTTAACAGAACTCAAACAAATTCAGATTTCAAACTTTGTTCAATATTTAAAAAAATTCAACAAACTTTCGTAAACATTTTAGGTTAATGGTGCGCGGATTGCCAGAAAAGCTTGGTACCTTCGGATATATATATACATATGTATGGACATCGAGCCCTAACTGCCAAAATAACGTAAGCGACATTTTTTTAAAACTTTATTTTTGATGCAGAAAGGCATCTAGATGCTCAAGGAATATTTCTGCACCACAAAGAAGATTTTTAAAAAATGTCGCTTACATTATTTTGGCGGTTAGGGCTCGATATGCATGTTTGTACAGTTCTGCACATAAAATAAGTTTGGTAATTTTTTGTTGAATTTGGTAACTTTTTCCGGTGATTTTGGTAAAAAATAAAAAAATGTTGTGGCAACACTGGCTCCAACCCAAGGAAACATTTTTCATTCTCTTATGTACCGCTGAGACGCCGCCAATCGAAATGAACCCAGCAATGCTTTGTAAAAATTGCGTGTAAAAAGTTTAAAATCTTTCCAGGCAGATATTGCGTAAGTGATTCAGTGAATATTAAATCTGAAAAGTTTGTGCAAAGTTTCTGATCGAGCACTTTAATTTGATGTATATTTTGTTTCTGTACGATTTGTAGATCGCTAAGAATAAGCGCCTTGTTTTAGAAAAATATATAGAAGAAGGTACAAACTTAAAAGTCTAAACTTCGTTATAATAATTGTTATCTACTAATGTTGCTTTTTTGTAACTGAAGTGTTATACATACTTAAGTAAGTACTTTTTTTAACTTCAACTTTGTTTTCATAATAAATACCAAATATGCATATTTCGGCTTTATAATATATCCCTTATCAATAGGTTTTTATTTTAAGATACAAAAATATTTCTTATAGAAAATGATAATCTCCATTAGCAATTTAATAAAAATAATGGGATAGTACTCATAGATGAAATAAAGTCGACTCTGATGTTTGGTGTAGCTTTTTTACAGATTGAATATTATGTCAAAAATGTATAACTAACCTTAGACTCGATTTTATTTCGACTATGAATATGCCCAATAAGTCTCGAAAGGTAAAATAATGAAAGCCCATATACAAGTACATGTTATAAAAGATTTGAATTACTTGAAGACACTTTTTTCGGCTGTGACACTTTTTTGCGACTTTCGAAAAATTTTCAGCGGTAGCACTAGTTGGCACATCTATACATATTTAATAGGAACAGTCCGCTCGAGTTATCAGGGACACTTCTGATATTTGACATTACAATCGATAGCAATAGGATAATAACATACGATTTTATTAATTTTTCTGAAATAATGTTGAAATTTCAGTGTATTCTGGATGAAGACAAATTAAAATAAAATCAAATTTTTGTCCTCTCTTAGGTGATATTGGATTCTCAACTCTGTCTGTAAGTGTTCGTAAAGCGATGGAATCGCAATTATCTTACTTGTATCTCTTTATTATAGCCACACTATTAAAATAAGGAAATTTTATGGAAATAATTTTAAGCTTAATGTTTTGAGTATTAAATATATTATCATCTATGTATGTAAGTAGGAGCTCCTTCATAAGAAGTCAAGCAGTTCTTACCCTAGACTGTAGTTTTTGTATGGGAAAGCCTTCAAAATAGAATGTTTCATTCCAACGAGGATTTAAAGTGCGCCGCTTTATTTTGGTCTCTAAACGATGCTTCTTATCAGGCAACAATGTAACGCGAACATATGGATCAGATGTGCCACTCAAGTCTTTAGCTGGCAGTTCTTTACCTTGCAAAACTTTCAATACCAATGTTGTATTTTGGAAGTCGTACTCCAGGGAAAAATGTATTTGGCCAACATTCTCGCTGGGCTCCGAGTTGTCGATATACATATCGGTCATTGAAATGCTCTTATTCTGAAATAAAACAGGTTTAAATGTATTACTATTTATGAGATACTCATCCGAGGTAAAATAAGGCGGGTAAATTTTTTTCTACATAGTTCCTAGCAGATTCGGATTCTACATAAAATTCTATGAAAAAAGTTCATTAGACCATAGCTCGAAAGTCAATTTCGAGCCTGCGAAATTTTAAAGGAAGCTATTTTTATTTAATACAAAGTTAATATGCAAATTAATATTTTTTCCCCTTTATTAACAACTTAAATATATAAAACATATATATACATAAATTTTCTAAAAAAATATATTTTGAGCGAGTAGATTGCGAATATATTTTTGAATTTTACTGCAATCAGTTGTGATAAAAGGAATTTTTGATAACTAAAGATAGCAACATAAGTTGGTTAATAAATTGCGGTAATCATTTCTGTGAAAAATGGTTTTGCTAGGTGGCTCTAGGGTCGAGATTTTTGAAAACCCGTATTTATGGCCCAATTTGGTTCGAATTTGGCGTATGTAGCTGAAACATAATTAGTCATAGATTTCCAAAAAATCTACCCTGAGTTGGCACTGAAGTCAAAATATAAAGTATAAATATTCGACATAAAACTCATGTTTTATTTGCGTTAAAAATTCATTTAAAGCAATATTAACCAAAAAATATCACATGCAAATTTATGTCACCTCACTTCACACTTGGGGTTGTAAAAGAAAAAAATATATGTATAAAATCTCTCGGAATCAAATTTTGTTTAAACATTTTAATGTATGTAGTTGATTGATTAATCCTTATTAATACATATAGTGGTCGAACAAATTATAGCCGCATCACAATTTGACAAGTTTTAACATGTTATTTTTTTGTTATTTAAATTTGGTTATGTTTTTTTAATAAAAATATAGCTCATTCTTTAACGGATCCCGTGTAGAATATTAAAAATAAAAATCAAATGACTTTCGTAAAAATGTCGAGCGTTTTTAATTAGATTTGCTAGAACGATTCTGATTGAATTCTAGTAGAATAAGGTACAAGTCTCAAATAACTAAACATTTGTGTTGATTTTTTATGGTTTTTTTTGTCCCATTTGCTTCTATATAACGAATATACAAAGGTTATTTTTATATGGAAGAAATTGTATTTTTTATCCATTTGAAACTTATTCTTTATTCTACTAGAATTCAATGGGCTGCAAACTGCATACTAAGAATCAGTGTAGGAAATCTAATTAAAAAAGCTCGAAATTTTTACGAAGGTTCGTTGATTTTTTTTTTAAATACTGCACAAAGTTTGAAACTTGGATTTACACGGGGTTTGTTAAACAATTAACCCATCAAAAGTAAAATACATGTAAACTATTGGGCGAATTGAGATTTGACATAACACCCATAATACAAAATACATGTGGTTTTTGTTTTTGTATCCTTGCTACCACCGCAAAATGGCGCTACAAAGCAAATTGTAAGTATGCACATTTTAATATCGTAACTGGTGAAATGACTGTAGGTACTTTTTTTTATATGTAAATCAAACTAAAACTTGCAAAAAAACAGAAACAATAAAACTTAACAATATTTAAAAAATGTATTATCAAAATTATTTTCCGAACCATAAATTTATTTTTTTTATATCAAAAGACAACAAATTTTCGAAAATTCTCATAACCATGACATTTAATACAGCAATCTTCCGCTTAATCAATTGTAATCGACTTTTATTTTTAGCATTCTATGTAGAATCCGAATCTTCTGGGAACGATGTCGAAAAAATCGTCCTATATAAATTAACATATAAGCAAATGTTTGAAGGTATAACAAAATTCAGAATAGTGAAATTTTAGTAGGTATTAAATGTATTTACCGCGGCATCCTTAGCTCCGGCACTCTCATTGCCACCACTTGTGCTCGAGCTGCTAACAGGCTTATTTTGCGCCTGTGTTGTTGTTCTGAAGCGAAATATAAAATCTCTCATTGTTATAAATAAATGTATAATGTACATAACAAGGTGAATTTATACAAGGTGGTAGCAACAATACAAAAACAACAATGCCATGCATTTTGTATTTCGCGTGTTATGCCAAAATCTCAATTCGCCCCAAAGTTTACATGCATTTTGTTTTTGATTTTCATAGGTCTGCTGTCAAATCAGTAAAAGCAAAAACAAAATACATGTAAGGCGAATGAAAGAAGAAGAAATCTGCTGGTCTAATAACACCACCTTGTATTAGGGTAAGGCTTCCTCAAGTGGGCCCCGACCTGAAAACGTCGATAAGTACACTGTGTAAATTTTGTTGCAAAATTCCAAATAGTTTTATTTTAATCAACAATTGAAAATTTTTGCAGTGTTTTAGAAATTTTTATTTTTCTTTGAAAGTAGGTGTCCGAATGTAAAAAAATTTTTGTGTGCAGATTTAAAAAAATATTAAACCATGCAATGAAATTATTTGCGTTAAAAAATATATATTTTTTTGCTTTTCAATATTTTTTTATGAAAAATTGAGCATTTAAGCAATTTCCGCGCCTCGTGGAGGAAAATTTTTAGCAACAACTTATGTAATAAACATTTCTGCATTTATCTATGAAAAAAATGCTTGCATTTCGATATAGTTTGGTCGCGGGCATGCGAAATTTGAGCATGAGAAATAAAAGTGGAACGATTGAAACGTGCATTCCTTGCACAAGAAGTCAACGCGGATTGCGCGCGATACAGCCACGAGAGTCGGCCCCGCACGCTGTCAAAAAACTATTTGGTATTTTGCAACAAAGTTTTACACAGTGTACTTTTCGACTACAAAACTCGGCGCTGCCTGAATATCATTGAAAAATATTAATCTTGGTAAATTTGGTGCCCACTTGAGGAAGCCTTACCCATTAATTCGCAATGGTACATATGTACATAAGTAGATATCATAGCTATCATAATATAATGTAAAATTTAAAGTTTTGTTTAATTCACAGAAATACAACGTTTTTAAAGAAATATATATTTTTTTATTGTAGCCACTTAACATTGTACAGTCTGTAACGGACTTTCCTGAGTGCTGGGCGTAGCTCTCGGTTGTCCAGGGTCCTGTAAGGAGTAAACGCCCTATCTCCTCGAGAAATTAGAACACACTCGCTTCTCGTTTATAGCCTCTTTATTTGCTGTACTCTCGCTATATCCACTCTCTAAAGTATAGAACTAGAGTAGGTTTAAACCCTACAGCTAGCACCAGTCTCAGTGGTTAAAGCCCACTTCGAATATACAATAATAGTCTCGGAGGTTGATCCCTCTTCCACTACCCGTGTAACCCACGTTGCGACGCGTGCCACGTATGCCTAGCTAATGAACAATGCTTGTTAGCACTGCTCCTTTTATACCATTTTTGTCCATCCGCAGACAGTTATCCTCATTACAATTGTTTGTGCTTTTACATTTTATGTAGGTATTGTATGTTGTAGGTATTTCTTATACTGTGCATACAAAGTAATAATTCAAAATATATTAGTGGATACATACATACGTACTAGTATAATCCAAATAGATGCAATTCAATAAGCTTATGTACATACATACGCATATATATAATAATTCAAAACATAAATGTACATATATATATATTTGTACATGTGTGTATACAATTTCAAATCAACAATTCAGGGTAAATAGTACAAAGGATATATATGTATGTGTATATAAAAGTTGTTGTGGGGCCCAGGGCCACAGGATCCGGGGTCCTCACACTCCCTCCTTACTCCCGGCAGCAAGACTTACGGTCACCTTGCCAGTTTTGGTGATTCGCACTCTGTAAGCCTGTCCGTTCACGATGTGTCTGAATGACTGCCGCTTCAGTTGCTGGTGGTTTACGTGCGACTCAATTTCCGTCACCAACTCTTCCGGCAACGCACCTACGTCCGGATGGACCTGCCACTCCGATGGCACTCTCGGCTCAGCCTCTTCTAGCCAACGCTCTATTTCCGCCACTAAGTCGGCATCTGCTGCCAAAGTCGGCTTCCGCCGACGCCTCCTCCACAAAATCCCTTCGTCCACCGCTCGCCAACGTACACGCCTCGATCGCGCCCTCACTAAGGCACAGCTGTTGCGGCGGTGGATGTGGCTCTTCCGATGCCATCGGGTCGTATAGCCTGATGCGCATGTCAATATGGCGCGCATACTCTACGTACCCGTTACCGAGGTGTCTGGCGTCTTGCGTAGCGATGGAGAATTTGCCCTGCCTTTTGGCATACTCCTCTTCCTCGTCGGACGAGATGGTTATGGGTGTTGGTGCCCGCTCTACTTCGCCATCACATTCATCGCTTGGCCCGCTATCGTCGGATCGTACGCTTACGTGCGATGATTCGTGCTCCATCTCCTCCTCTTCGCTCGTCAAATGTGGCGTATTGTTTGCAAAGTACTCTGCACGCCAATAGGCAGCCATCTCTGCATCTTCACTATTTTGGGGCAGTACGAACGGCTGCGTACTTTCGAGGCTTTCGATGTCCTCGACGCCGATTTCTTGTTGTTGCCTGCCACTGTTGCTACCGCCCTCGCTGGGGCTACTTGGCCGGCCAGCGTCGTCATGCTCGCCTCCGGTGCTGTTGTTGTCGCTCGAATTACTCGACCGGTCTCCACCGCTGCTGTCACTTCTACTGTAGCGTCGAATTTCGTGCTCTGTTAGGCGCTTTATACGTACGCGCAAAATGCCGCCCTCCACTTGTTCGGCTACAAAATTTTGCCTGTTGCTGCTACTGTTGCTCCATATTTTCGCGAACTTGTGCCTTGGCGCCCGCGGCACATCCTTTTTATTGCCGACAGTGGCCATTGCGCGACCAACTGTATTTTCCTAGTTTTCCGGCACTTTTCCAGCAAAATTTCGGTAATTTTGCTGCCGTTTCACTTTCACATTGCATATTTTGTTTTTATTTGTTTATTTGTCATCCTCGCACAGCTGTAGTTTGGTGTCGGGGTTGCTGACTATCCAAAAGGGAGTTTGTAGCGTTGATGTGAACTGAAGTAGATTTCGGGTTGCCACTGCGGTATTACTCCTCTTCTTATTACGATTATTATTATTAGTAGAATTAGTATTATTTTGTTATTATAAATGTTTTTAGCTATTATTAATATTTATAATTATAATAATTATTAATATTTATAATTATATTACTATTGCTGTTGTTATTATTAATTTTAATATTAAAATGATAATTATTATTTTCTTTTTATAATTTTCTTTTGTGCTTCGTGCCATCTGCATCTTTCATTGTTTTCCCTTTGAACCTTTATTTTTTTCTTCTTCTTCTTCTTCTTCTTCTTCTTATTATTATTATTCTTCTTCTTCATCTGATTTAGGATTCTTCGGCTAGCTTCTCATCTTTCAGGGCCTCCGCTGTCATGGCAGTTGCTCCCCTGCTGGCAATTGCCGAGTGTGTGACTTCAGTCTCTGCTGAAATTTACCTATTCGCCGCTGTGCGCCGAATTAGGCTCAGACGATGCCACGGGGGAATTTTCACCTGAGGCGTTGCTCTCATAAAATGGTTTGAGATCACTCACGTGCGCTGTTCTTCTTTTCCCTTTGTGCACCTTGTCGAGTTCTACGATCACAGGTGAGATAAAATTTAGAACGCGATGTGGTCCGCCGTATTTCGGTGCAAGCTTAGCCGCGAAATTGTCCACGGCTTTAGACAAGAAGTGTTTTTTCACCAAAACCCTGTCTCCCACGACCGGTTGCCACGATCTTCTTCGCAGATTGTAGTGTCTCGCTTGCTCTGTCGTTGCCTTTTGTTGGTTTCGTCGCACTAACTCAAACACCTCTTTCATTCCCACCGCTTTTACTTGCGGTGTTGTGGCATCTTCGCCGGTTCCTAACGTATTCTCGTCATACAATGCGTTCGGTAACCTTGGTTCTCGCCCTTGGACGACGAACGCCGGGCTGTAACCCGTTGCGTCGCACACGCTCGTGTAGAGGGCCAAAATCATTTCTGGCAACAGATCATCCCAGCTCGTCTGGTCTTTGCCTGCAAACTGCGCCAGTAGTCGCTTGATGTTACGGTTAGCTCTTTCCGTCGGATTTTGCTGCGGTGTGTACAGAGCAGTGAATTAGTGCCTTATTCCCATCTCCTCCAGGAATTGCTTAAATTTCGAGCTGGTAAACTGCGTTCCATTATCCGTGATCAAGATTTTTGGAATGCCGACTTTGCCGATAATCCGCTCTATCACTGCTCGAATTACTCCCTCCGCTGTTGCCTTCCGCATTGGTACAATCTCGACCCATCTTGAGAAACGATCTAGTATTACCAGCGCCATAGTGTTTCCATGCTTGGATCGCGGAAGGGGTCCTACGAAATCAGCACACACCGTCGCCCAGGGTTCTTCCGCTAGCTGCGTCAGCATCTTTCCGGCTGGTTGCTGCTGGCTTGGTTTGTAAAGCTGGCAGGTCTGACATTGTCGCACATACTTCTACACGTCGCGGAACATGCCCGGCCAATAATATCGCGCTGTCGCCCGCGCTATCGTTTTTCTGATCCCCATATGGCCTGCACTGGGAACATCGTGAATTTCCCTTAACACCCTCTGCCTTTGCTCTGTCGGTACACATAATTTCCATGGCAACACGTCTTCACCGTCGATTTGGCCTGATATTCGCCGGTACAGCTCACCATTTTCGATGACAAAGTCAGGAAACTTCTGTGGGGACCTCTCCACCTCCGCCATCTTGTCTTTCAGCCACTTGCACTCTACCGCTACTCCTCCCGCCGTCATCGAACCAAGCAATGTTTCCTGGGGCTGTCTTGACAGCGCGTCTGCTACCACATTCAGCTTACCTTTGCGATACTGCACATCGAAGTAGTACTGCTGCAGTTCCAGCGCCCACCTTGCAATCCGACCGAATGGACTCTCTATCTTACTCAGCCATTTTAGCGCTAAGTGGTCGGTGATGACGGTAAACGTATACCCTTTTAGGTAGGG